GATGTTGTAATGAAATGGCACATGACCCTAGTGGAATTTAGCCAAATCTTCTCTTTAATCTGCAGCTTACTTTTTCTCCCTGAATTGGCCAACTTTGACGGTATTGGCTGTAGGAGCCTTCTGTATTAGGACAAAGATTTCATCTGCATCCAAGCTACTCCTGCTTTAATTAGGAAAAAACAAACAAATAAACAATTCTTTTCATGTGTCCAATGTGTCTGTTATAAGAGATTAAAGTTAATAACAGTTCAGTCACGTGCAAAAGATTCTTGAAAGATATAGCTCTTCTGTATCTCTCTCTTTCTATTTTTTTTTTTTTTTTTAAAAAAACAAAAACTGGTGGGAGGGGTTATTCTCTCTTGGCAACATGTTTTAAAAGTACTGTGCCTTTTGCTGTGCTCCTGCAAAATCTTGGCTTTAATAGAAATCATTCCTAGGGAAATCTCAGTTACAGCCAGAAATGTTTTCTGTGAAAAAAATTTGGAGCCAAATAAAAAATGTGTTGTACAGAAATTTGTGAAAAGGAATAAAAGATGCAATGATCTGCAGGTCCTAGAAAGGAGAAGACTGGAGATTCCAAACAGGCAGATGTATATGTTTGGTGGCTATCTCTTAGAAACCATTGGTAGGACTATTACTTTACATATCCAGAAAATAGAATTGCTTGATGTCCAAAGTCAAAGATAATATATTTATGTAATGAACCTGAGATGGAAATGCTCTTATAAGAATGACATAATCTCTCATGTAATGACAAATTGCATTTTCACATTCACTCTGAAATAGACCAAAGAAGACTCTGCTAGGCTGGATAGATGCCCAAAAAAAGTGGAAGCTGAAGAGGTCTAAACAAGGTACTGAGCGAGAGATGGAAGGCACAGTTGTAAAAATAAAATGAGGGTCACAGAATCACAAAATTGTTGAGGTTAGAAGGGACTTCTGGAGGTTGTCTTGTCCAACCCCCTGCTCAAGCAGGGCCACCAAGACCCAGTTGCCCAGGATCATGTCTAGATGGTTTTTTTAATATCTCTAAGGAGGGAGACTCCACAACCTCCCTGGGCAGCCTATTCCAGTGCTCAGTTACTCTCACAATAAAAAGTGTTTCCTCATGTTCAGAGGGAACTTCCTGTGTTTCATCTTGTGCCCATTGCCTCATGTCCTGTCTCTGAGCACCACTGAAAACAGCCTGGCTCCATTCTCTTTGCACCCTCCTCCAGGTAATTACATACATTAATAAGATTCACCAGAACCTTCTCTTCTCCAGGCTGAACAGTCCCAGCTCTCTCAGCCTTTCCTCACAGGAGATGTGATCCAGTCCCTTAATCATCCTTGTGGCCCTTCATTGTACTCTGTCCAGTATGTCTGTATCTCTCTTGTACTGGGGAGCCCAGAACTGGACACAGCACTCCAGGTGTGGCCTCACCAGTGCTGAGTAGAGGGGAAAGATCACCTCCCTCGACCTGCTGGCAATGCTTTGCCTAATGTAGCCCAGGACACCATTGGCCTTCTTTGCAACAAGGGCACCTTGCTGGCTCATGTTGAACTTGTCCACTAGGACCCCCAGGTCCCTTTCTACCAAGCTGCTTTCCAGCTAGGCAGCCTTCAGCATATATCAGTTCATGGGGTTGTTCCTCCCAAGGTGCAGAACTTTGTGCTTCTCCTTGTTCGAGTTAATAAGGTTCCATTCGGCCCATTTCTCCAGCCTGTCGAGGACTCTCTGGATGGTAGCACAACACTGTGGCAAATCAGCCACTCCTCCCAGTTTGGTGTCATCTGTAACGTTCCTGAGAGGACACTCTGCCACATCATCCAGACCATTAATGAAGATGTTAAGTGGGACCGGACCCAGTATTGATGCCTTAAGGCTTAAATTACGTTTGGGATTTTTTTACCATTAGCAAGCATCCATAAACTCTCTGAGAATTAGACCATACATGGATACTGGCCTTCTGGATCTGAAGTTTGCATGACAAATAGGGAAAAATTTCCACTAAAAAAGAACAGGAGAATATTTGGAGAGAGTCGTATTATCTTCATTTTCATGTTTACTGGGAAAATCTGGTAAATAAAGTCATAGCAAAGCATTAAGGTCGTGAGAAGAAATAACTGATTATTAAGGCAACGGTCAGGTAGTCAGTACAGAAAGTGAAAGGATTCAGCTGTTCTGACTAGGAAGATGCTTGAGTTAGATACAAAAAGACGCAAAACTTCTAGAACAGATACTTATTTTACACAGGGGCCCTAAGCAGACAAATATAAGAACATGACTGCCCTGAAATGTAATAACATTGATAATGAAACCATGATGAGATAACAAGTATTAGAGGTATGCATTTGGCAGGAAAGATAAAAACAGAGATAGATGTGGTATGTAGCAGATGTGAGAGACTTTTACGTTAATGTTGTTTGTTCTTTCTTCATCATCTGTTTGGATTAATTCATTTTAAGAATGGATAGGAAAACAAATTTTAATCACAGTAATATTTGGAACTAATATTGAAATATATTTGAAACAATGTGACTCACTTAAATATTAGGACACCAATATTTTCTTTTATATATATAGATGTCTACCTCTTGGCTAGATCTTGTATTCCTACTACAGGCAGTGCAGGTCTCATGAATACAGTCAGCTGAGTATAGCAAGTTGTATCCAGATTATCTAAGTAGGTATCTTCAGTGCAATGGTTGTGTAAACAGCCTGTCCTTATAGGGCAGGAGCTCCAGCCTCCTGATCATCTTTGTGGCCCTCATCTGGACCTGCTCGAGCAGTTACACATTTTACGAGAAAATACTGGATAAAAAGGAGGGAATGCTGGTTTAAATTTTGAAAATCTAGAATAACATTGCAGAAAAGCTAGTCAAAAAACCTATCAGATCAAGTGATCATGAATTCATTTGTTTTAAATTAAACATGTATATATTGCCTAAGTTTTCGGTAAAAGCAGAAACAATAAAATGCAGGACAAAGGAAGAAATAGCTAATGTCAGCAAGTAACCAAATCCTAAGGAAAACTCAAGGAGCTGGATATGCTGAAGTTGAGGGAAATGGGTAATCCATACCTCAGGATTCTGAAAGAACTGGCTTGCCACATCGCTGATCTGATAGCAGGTGGTTTTAATAAAGCTGTGGATGATGGCATTATGTGCACTGGAGAACGGCAAATCTTTTTAAAGATCGAGAAAGAGAGGAATAATTGTTGCAAAATGAGACTGAAATATGGGTTTATTAAAAGTGGCTTATAGCAGGCTAACCTGTTGACATTTTGTGATGAGACAATAGATTTGTTGTCACAATAAATATAGTAATCTTTTTCCCTATGACCTCTGATAAAGATACCATGTCACGTGGGAAGCGAGTGATTAGTTTGGAGAAATTGAAAATTAGCAGATTTGTTGGAGGAGTGAAGAGCTGGCAAATGGAACATGATAGCGGTGACTAGTGAAGGAGGCTGCTGGCAGAGCACAAGCAGAGTTCTTCTAGGGTCAGGTTTAGGCCTAATCTTAACATTTAATGCATCACCTTGACACGCAAATTATGAATAGATTATGGTATCTTTCTCCTGATACCAATTATGTAATATAATAGGGATCTGGATGTTGTTTAGAAAAAGAATGATACCAAAGACTAGATTATTAAAAATGGGATTAAAATTTAATAGTGTAGACCAAAGGATTTAGGGAATAATAAACAAATTCTGTTATGAATGGAGAGCTGATCACCTGGACACAGCTGCAAAGGAGAATCTGGGTATTCTAGCTGATCCTTTGTTGACTGTGAGCCATCACCGTGCAGCTGTGAAGAAGGAAGACATAATCCTAAAATTTCTCTATACAATAAAGAAGTGTTGCTGACATTGTTCAAGGCAGTGAGATGGCTTCTGGGGTACTGCATACTCTAGTACAGTTCTGTTCTCCAGCTGTAAGAAGGTTGAGCTCCATCCTGGTATACAAAGGGTTTACTGTGAAATTATTAGATGAAAGGACAGCCTGCTGCTGTGTGAAAGACCATTTTTAAAAGCTCAGCTCATTTATCCTAGTAAAATGAATGTGGAAAAAAGATGTTCCTCTCTTCTGTCTATACATGCTGTGGGCAAACAGCAGGGAGGAAGAACAGTTATCTTAAAAATAATTTCAATACAAGAACAGGTATAAACTGACCTTGAATAATCTAAGACAAGGAATTAAAAAAAACCCATCTACTATTAGAGCCTCCCAATAAGAATGTCTCTACTGGGGAATAATCTAAGACAAGGAATTAAAAAAAAACATCTACTGTTAGAGCCTCCCAATAAGAATGTCTCTACTGGATGGAATGGATCAATTTATGAAAGGGATTATGAGAAGCAGTTTCCTGTGTTAGAAATGAAAGAGGACCTGCTTGGGTGTGCGTTCTACTTCCACTACACAGCAAGCAAAGAACTGGCCGGTGCCAATAACCAAAAATAGACTCTACCACTGTTACTTTAACTCATCCCAGCTGTAGACAAGGTAGATGGATACACACCTGACAGACAGTTGCCCCATGAAATACTGCTTTCTAGCCAAGTTGTTACGAGTTACCTTTGACATCCCATGTGCCTCTTCAGCCAGTCCAGCAGCTTGCTTAGCAAGTGTTTTGAAAATGGATGTGCAGGTGAGATCTGAAATCTTCCTCCTACTAAAAAGGAGTCATCAGAGTGAACTTTAGAAGTAAGGAGCAATTCTCACTGGTCACCAGAAGGTGACTTTGCTAATCTATCAAGGAACAGCAGTGTGGAAAACCACATCTGTATCATTTCAACACAGTGGAAGTGTGTAGTGCACAACTGATAATTGTAGCATATGGTTAATTGCTTTTGTCTCTGCAGTGTGCCAGCCAGAACCATGTGAAAAAGAAATGCAAAAGAAGCAACTAGAACGAGAAACATCATAATGCTTGAAGAATAAGGACTATGGTGATGATATCTTTATATGGAATAGAAATACCTGTAAAACGTTTTTGTTTACTATAACCACAGGGTTCCTTAAAGGAGGTTCTTAAACAACTAGAAGAAGAGAAGAAAAGTCTCCAGAATCAGCTAAAAGACTATGAACTTAGACTGGAACAAGAAGCAAAGGTTTGTTATCAGTTATGCCTCTAATCTATAAAAGCAATTATGTTGTCTGACAAACAGACAATGTGCGTGAAACACAATAGAATAGTTCCACAAAATATGTCACTGGAAAAAGCTCTGCTGTATATTTGTTTCTTTCTGTATGGTTCAACTTTTAAAATATTTCACTCAGTGATAGCCTTTATCCCTTGTTTTAACTCTAGGCTTACCACAAAGCTAATGATGAGCGGCGCATGTATCTTTCAGAGATCTTACAGGTAAGAAAAATGTGCGACTCAATAACTTTTAAAAATCATTATGCTTTCTTAATACAGCAGCAGAATCTGTTAATGCCATTAGGTCAAAGTCTTATCACTGCATTCATCTACCAAATCCATTACATAAGCTGCTTTAAAAATATTTTAAGAGCTAGAAATGGAAAGATTGCAGTTTATTTATTTTTAAATACTTCTTTTGCTTTTGTATCAACTGGAGTTTCATTGTTCCCAAGGATAGTCAGAGTGCTCTTAACTGAGAAAGCTCAAACAATTTTCTGATACTTGCTTGCCCATCCATTAGTCAGCTATGCTAGTTTAATGTTTCAGAATGAAATTATTAGCAGTAGTGACGCCTACCTTAAGTAGCAAGTCCTCTTTTTCATATTCCTCTTTTTTTCTGTTAAAGATAAACTAGCCAGCCAGCTCAGAATGACAATAAAGCACATATTTCAATTAAATTTATCAGATAAGGGATAAGAGACCGTGTTTTTTGGTGAAATCAAGGTTAAATTTCACTGCTGCACATTATGTAATACATAAAAGTTGATACTACAAAGTGGAGGAACCTGTAAAGGAACCTGTGAAGATTTGTAGTTCTTCTTATTCTGAAAGAGCTCTTAATTCCTGAATAATGTAAAAGTAATAGCTTAGTGTGATACTCAAGAATGATTGACACTGAGTCACTGTCATAGCTAGCTGGGGTGAAAGGCTGTAATTAGCAGCGTTTCCATGTGATTGCACAGGGGTGAACCGATTCACTTACGTGGTTCATTGCTACTTTGGCAAATCTGAAACAATTGCTTAAACTAACTTTCTGGCATGAAACCAAGAAAAAGCCCAGGAAACGCCCATGATAATTGTTAATACCTTTGCATATTAAGAAACTGGAGGAATAAAGTAGGAAACAAAAGATGATTTTACTACTGAACATGCTAGCAAGAGGCATGCTTATGTTCAGCTGCCTAGAAAAGCACTTAAACATGTATAAAGCATTATTTGAAGTGAGGTATATGCACTGGCACATTGCTTAAATGGAGTATTAGGTACTAGGATTTTGCTACTGGCACTCAAGGTAGTTAGTGCATTATATTATCAGTAATTATTTGCCGTCATGATTTCAGAATCATATGAGAGCAAAATAATCATCTTCAGATTAATCTTCCAATCTTTAGTTCTCTGAATGTTAAATGGACAATCTAAAGTAGTTGTAGAGGGGTCCTCTGTAAGCTATGAGAAAGAAGCATGTTTAAGGTGCAAACTATCACACCTGGTTTAGCTCAAGATGAAATGAATGTCCCAGGGACATGTCTGTCCCTCTTCCTGAGCTATAAGCAGAGCCTAGGTGAGCAGTTCAGGCATCTACCTTTTAGTATTGCTAATCTGAACAGGCTAATCATGGTTGACTGTTGGTTGCAAAAGAATCAGTGGCTCAGCTGGTCCCTTCAGGTCCTGTTCTGCTATGACTTTGATTTGACTCTTGCTTTTATATGCATATGTATGCACTGCCTTTTAGCAGTTCACTTTAACAGTAGAGGCAGAAGTAAGCTTACTTTCAATCCAGACTCTTTCAGCTATATTAAAATTTCCCTGTTCTAGAGTCTGCACGGTAATGTTGGCAGCAGTTGAGTTAGGAGGATTTGCCCATAGGCTTACATTTTTCATACATTCCAAAGTAAGTGTACTGCAGGATATTGTTATCCCGTGACAACAATATATTCCAGTGACACTCTGTTAGTTACAGAGAATGGATATAATGTCTTTTTAGGCCTTTTTTTCCCTCATTATGTTTGTGCTTTTCTGTAGCTCACAGTAAAAAAAAAAATCATTGAATGGAAATTTTTACTGGTAGGTGTTAAAAAATCCCAGCTGTTTTGGGGTTTTTTCTACTTTGTTTTGGATCCTTTCTGAAGCTTGTGGCAGAAGCAGAGGAGAGAGAGAGATGCTTTTGAGCAGCCATTTCTTTTATTTACCTTTTTTATAATCAAGTGCTTTTCTGGTTTTCTTTACAAAATATATGTATCTTCTGAGTGCTTTTGTTGTTTGTTTTGTCTGGATCCGTAAGGATATAGTAAATTTTAAATGATAGTTTTAAAATAAATTAAAGATTTCACAAACTTGAAAACTCATGCTAGAGCCACCAGCGGTTTATGGTGTAATCCTGTTCGCTTTTTTGTTTTGTTTTCGATCTGAAAAAATACTGGTTTGGGATTTGGACTCCAGAAACATCAAAGCACTTTCTGGTGGTATTCAGAAATTGGTTTGAGAAGCAGGCAAAGAAGAATGATAGCAGATCTTTAAAAGGGTCATTCTTTCAGGCCACATTTTTAGCACAAACTTACACTAGCATAGTAGAGTCTGACCTGTGATTGGTGTTTCTTTGCAGACAAAGCCCACAATTATAGATAGGTACAGCTGGAGAGCTGCTTGTGCAACACAGCTCATTTTAGTTGGGATAGGCCTGGAGCGAACTGTACCAGCAAAACCAGTGCTATGAATAATAATCGTATGTACTGGCTCTCTATCCATATAAGTTAAAAAAAACCAAACAGTGAAGGCAATTGTAGCATAGGTCTTGCCTCATGTGTCACAGAATCACATCTGCTCAGAAAGATGATAAATTATACTAGCCATCATCGTTAGCGCTAGAGTTTCTTGAGTGCAAAACATTTCTTGCCTTCAAGAAAGTAAATCTGTGCGGATCCTATTCCGGTTTTACGCTTGCACTATGAAAAGACTCTGCCTTAGTTGTAGCTGACTGGGTCAGGAATACTTGCCTAGTGCATTGGATGTGGAAGCAGAGTAGAAACCATTGTCTTATAAGCAGTGAGATGTGCTTCTTTTCAGTGCCAGAATTTTTTCTCACAAGTGCAAGATGTTTTCACACATGCTATAAAATGTAATGTTGTAATGTAATGAAATAATCCAAACCCCGAGCCTTGTATAGGAAGTCCCCAAAAGCTTTCACTGGTCTGGTGTACCTGATACTTCATGTATCATGATTATAATTTATTTATTACATGTTCCTCATGGATCTATTTACAGGGGCTGAGAAAATTCCCTTCACTTTTACACTAGACACCCAAGTGTGCACAGCAGCCAGACAAGCCCGAAACCTTCTGCGTTTCCTGTTTGTCTGTCCTTGGTATAGCTGCCCCTCTGAGAGGTAGTTTCAGGAAAGGCAGCTGGATGTGCCAGCAAATGCTGGGTGAGGAGGGAACCCTGTGAGCTAAGGAACAGGAGAACCAACTGATTTAATCCTGCTCAGATTCTGTGAAGTGCAATACCAAGGGTAACAACTGGGGGTTTTTCATTACATCAAGTAATGTATTCTTGCAGAGTGTACAGAGATTTCTGTGCTGTGTTAATTTTTTAAAAAGCAGTTCCTGTCCTTAATTAATGATTTAATCATTCAAAAGTACAACTAAGTGACTATAATTTGTTTTCTTTCTCATTCAGGGAAGTATGTTAGAAATACAATGCTTCTTCATTGAAAATGTGGAGTTATGGGCAGTGTGACCAAAACCATGCTGATTGAAATTATGTATTCTGTGATCGTCCGGCTTAATAAGTAATGGTATTTTTGCACAGCAAAGGATTTTGGCATGTGTTCAGTTCCCCAAATCAGCAAGGCATCAGTATAATATGTGCTTAAAGCCCTTTATGGCAATAAGACCATATTGAGTCCAAATTAGTTTGAAAAAAATTTACTTGTTTAACTGTAATTGTGGTTAGAATTTAACTTATTTTGTAAAAATTTGGCTATTGCAGACCTCAGCTACACTTAAAACTGTCGAAAGGCAAAAAACAGATGCTCTTAGAGGCAAGGGAGAAAACCAGATGCTGAGGTAAAGTTCCTTTATCTTCCCTCTGGTTTCTAGTTTATTATTTTTTGCTAAGTACTATGTTTTGGATATTGTGACTGTCTATTCATAGTAAATATCACTGAGCATAATCCTACTGACAAAGTATTAAAAAAGTATAAAAGCATCACAGATACTGCTTTTCAATCTTATTTATTTAATACTAAGTATGTTGCAATATTGAAAATATATATAGTCAAGTGGCCTTTTTGAAATCATACAGTACCTCTGATGTTCTTCCCTTTCAACCTGTGTTTAAAATGGATCATTCTTTTCTATATTACTGCAGAGTTGGGAGCAACAAGTATAGCCTTTAGTCCATTAAGAGTAATTCAATTACATAATGCCTTGCTTGGCCCTTTTTAGCCAATAGAGATTGTACAGCTTTTTGTGGATGATAATCTGAGTGATTTTAGACGACACCATATAAAGGCTTCGTTGTTATACAGGTTTCTGTTTAGTTACATGGGTTAGAAATTTGAATTTGAAAACAGGACGCCTGCTCTGAGCTAAATAGAAATAAAATGAATTTCTGATCATAGTGCTTGTGAGAAAGCTTAAAATTGGAGGAGATTTGTTTTTTAACTGAACTGAAAATGTTAAGACCACAAAGCGTGAAGAATATAGGGAGTCACCTCAAAAGTGTGTTGGACCCAGTAACCTGCCTCCAGTGGCCGCGAGTAGATGCCTACAAAAGTGTGTAAGCAGGCAGATAGCATATTTGCTTTTGGAACTCTCCCAAATACTTTTATGTTTGGAGACTTCCTGAGCTAGTATGGCTTCTATGTATTTAGTATCTCACAGTAAATACTCTTCCATAAACGTACTTACGTAAATTATTAAAATGAGCATACACAGTACATATTGGGAACATCTGAAAATGTAATGAGAAAATTATAAGCATGAAATTGTGTAGATGTATTTGCTTACCACCTTTATCCTTTCATTCTGTGTAAGCACAAAATCGTAGGATTTCATAAATTGGAACAGTGGATCTTTGCTCTCCAGGAGCAGATGTTAGTAGAGTATGAATTAATGTAGTATAATAGGAGTTAAAGTCTATATCTGAAGTTTCTCAATACAGAAAAAGTATTGTATGGGTCTGAGGTACCACATATAGAGCCAGTGTGTTGCTTCTGGCCCCAGTGATGTTTAACATAGCTCATGTGGAGAAGGTCAGGAAGCTAGAACTAAGAGAATTCACTGTATCTGCTGGGAGATTAAATATCATTAGCCAGATATTGAGGTTTGCTGAGGGTCAGCACTGATCTGTTATTATGCTGGGGTTTTTTATAATTTATTTTAGTAGAGCATTACTTACCCTGAAATTATATGACAGTGTGTTTCCGTAGTTTTCTTTATATCAAATGGAAGAAAATAAAGTACGAAAGAAGTGTATTGTAATTGCTGGTCTCAGAAGATGCATGTTGTAATAAAATATCCCCTTTCAACCCATTTTCCTTCAGAGGATTTTTTTTAACTTTTCAAAGTACTTTACGCACAGGAAGGATATTGTTCATCTTTTAAATTGTCCTTAGTAGCAAAGGACACTGTTTGCAAAGCATTGGCTTTGATAACCAGTGACAGAACTTTCAGTTCAAACTTTGGTCACAGTTGGCAACAGGGAGATAAGAATGGAGATTTGGAATAGTTTGTATTTTAAGGAAATACTAGAATGTAAGTAAGCACCCCTTGATCATCACAAGGTTAACACAGCCATTGTTATATTATTCCTTTTTAATTATGTTTTGATTTACAGCCTGAAGGTTGTTCGTTCAAGCTGACATTAATGAGAAATAATTTCATTTAAATAAGAGAAGACCTGCGTGATTGAAAATAAACGTGTTCCTGAGAATAATTTGAAAATTTTTTCTCCAGAGCTCTTATCTCACTTCTGTTGGCCTTTCAGAAAATGCCTGCCTTCACTGGATTTCAAACCATATTAAGAAACTATGCTTAATGTTTTTTTAACTATAGGTACAGGTATGGAAAACCCAACCTGTGTATTAAAGCAACACTGAAACATTTTTGAGTAGTAGTTGTGAACACTAGTTGTTGATGCATTCAGTTTCCTGGCCATCCAAACATAGAAGCCTAGTTCAGTAGAGGTCCTTTTTTTGTGGTATTTCACAGGGCAAGAAGAAGATAGGCTAGGTGACAGTTGGGAAAAACTTGGATGTCTTGATGACTCATGTTTCTGATGCAATCAGAGCAGCCCGTTTAATGTCATTCTGAGCCCTTACTGTTGCAGTGAGGCATATAGCAGGGCTTATTAGGTCAGCTTCAACACTGTAGTGGCTGCAGCTACCTGGCTTCTAAGTCCATAAGTCTCTCTGGTTTTGAGTGGAAAGAGATTTTGCTGTCTGCAGAATTCCACAGACATATGCTGTCTGCTTGGTCTGCTTGATCCAGCTCTACAGTGATCTACAGACTGAATTTGAATAATCAATTGATTATTGGGCAAACTGAGGCCTTGGGATCTGGTCTTCCAGGCTCTGAGTAGAAGTAGCTCCATATCTCTGTGGGGGCAGCGCTCCCTTCAAGACTATGACTGCTTGTAAGAGCTGGAACAAAGGATGTGTCAGTCTCAAGAAGACTGGCAACCCCTAGGAACAACTTTGTTGGCTGTTTGCCCAGAAATTTGAAACTTGCACAGATCATGTCATCACAGCTTCTACCACGTAACAAAATATTCTTCAGCTGTCATCATGAATATAATGATGAAATGCTGTGATATATTTTCCTTCAGAATACCTTTACTTGACACGTTGAAACCCTGCATATTGTCATTGAGAGTGTGTAAACTGTCTACTGTGGTAATGAACAGGGAGAGGGACAAAGGTACATTGCGTAAGAGTAGAGATGCATACTGCTTGATCTGAGAATGACCCTTCCAGTTTGTGGAATCACCAGCCCACCCCTGGAGATTTTTCTATATTCCCACTGATTTCTCTTAGAAGACCAAGGTGAAAACAGCTGTAGTAGGCTCCACGTAGATAGTGTATGTATCCACAATGAGTAGCACTTCAGAAGTCTGCTGGCAGCATTTCCAGTGTAAGATCATGGGCTCAAGAGCATGTGTCTCCGGAGTGGAGTACCTGCAGAGAACTGTGACTACATCTACATGAAGTGTTTTTCCATTTCCTAATGGGATTTATGTAACTGTCTTCTTAGGTAGTTATCGTTCTCTTTGTGCAAATGTTTAGTATTCTGTTCATGTTCTTCAAATGCCGTCATTTAGGTAACAGGAGGTAGTGAGGAATCATGAGATGAGGATTGAGTTTGTATGCAGAATAATTAGCTGCTCTGCTAGCCTGCAAACCCAGAAATACACTTGTTTTTTCCTCTCTCAGGTTTATTAATTCACAATACTAATCAGTTATGCAAATGTAAAAAGCATGCAAATTTCTAGCAGTTAAAGCTTGCAGGGAATGTGACACTTGATGTCTAACTTCACCCGTTTTATTTCAGAGGGAGATACAGTGTTCCAGGAAACCCGAAGATGGTTAATCTTCAAAAAGGATTGATTAAAAAGACTGTAGGAGTGAAGCAGCTTCCGAAACTAAAGCACTGATTCAGTATTAATGCCAAGACCTTACAATGTCTTTTTAAAAAATTTAACTGAAAGTTTCTAAATGGAAAATGAATGTATTTGTGCCTTATTATAATGCTAAACCCAGACTGGCATGTCTTCTTGGTAGCCTTAATGTAAGTGTTCCTCTGCCTAACAGAGCTGTTCTTCGAGTTGCCGTCTTTGTTCTGGTTATCTCTGACCCTTACATTCTGGTTCTCGTCAGTGATTCTGGGTGTCAGGGAGTCGGAAGCCTTGGAGAACATTTAGTGTCTTTATACACTAGGTAGATCCTTGGACTCTTTGGCTGCACAGCAACCATTGAAAACAAACAAGCCTCTAACATTTTTGACCTCTCAACCAAGAAGAAGAAAAAGGCAGACTGACGTAACCTGAAGTATTATCTCACCACCCAAAACAGTAAATATCAGACAATTCCATCCGAGGGCATCCCCATCCAGTACAGGCATCAAAGAGAGCCTCTCAAGTAGCCTGGTGTTGGTACAGCTGAACGTGGCTTTGGTTTGGCTTTTAGAAAGACCGACAGCATAGTTTACTAGCCAGTCTGATTTCTTGCATGATACCGTACCATAGAGTCCCTTTCCAGCATAAAGTTGTTGTATATTCCGTGAGCTTTCTTACTCTAGCAGAGAAGACAAAACACCTCCACATGTAACTTTTAAAAAAGCTGGCTTGCCACTGATCATCTGTTGACCACCACTTTCTGTCTGCATGGTTTAGAAGCACAGCACCATTTCCACTTACTTCAGGCACTAGTAATGGGTAGAAATGAGAGAAAAATGAGAGAAAAATTGAACACTTTTTATTAAGGTTCCTTCAGAGGCTATCTTGTGGAGGGGTTGTTTCTTTTAAACACTGTATGTACATTATGCTTCCCAACATTGGTATATTGCTATTTGAAATTTGAACTCTCAGGTGAACCTTTGTATCCACAGTCTGGGTTCCATAAAATTCTCTATGCATTCTTCAGTGGCACTGATCCATGTGTTTGTAGGGGCCAAAACAGTGCCAGTCTTTAAAGTCATCTCTTCAATGAAAGTAGAACTACTTCGTATTTTCATTCTTAAGCATGCAATTATTGTTGCAGTTTCATTACCTACATTTCAGTCATTAAACTTCAGCAGAATTTTTTAAAGTGGCAACAGGAAAAATGTTTTGCTAATGAAGCTTCAAACCTCTGGGCTACATCTTAAAAGCTTTTGGCAGAGCAAATGTGATTGATTGACTGCCTTTATTATTTTTAAGAGCATCCCCAGCTCTTTGCAATATCTAATAAAGCTTTTTGCCTCTTTAAGAGCAGTACTAATAGTTCCTTGTTACTGGCAGCATTAAAGTGAATAATTAAACTGATACAAAAAGATCAATGATGTCATTCTGAAATGCAGAGAAAGAAGACCTGCAGTATTGTACAGCATATTCAGTATGGAAACCCCATTTTTTTCTCTTACATAGTAAGAGATTTATTACAGATATTTCTTGCATTGCCATGATGCACCTGGTATCATTCTTTCATAAGCAGGGTAGTCCTCCTGGACAGTTTTTTCCTCACAGTCACAGTTGAAAGCATAGCACAGCTGACTGGGTTAGCACTCTTCTGCTCCTGTTTTTCACATGGAAAATTTCCAAGTTTAGATTGTGCTGGCATTTGTCATTGTGGAGAAGGAGAAGGAAAAAATCACCATAATGGACCTATTGGCATAAAAGACAAGGGACATCTGCAGTAGTGAAGAATATCCAGTTCTTGGATCCATGCAGCAGGCATTTACTGCTGCTGTCTCCGCATCAAATGTTAGTCAAACCACTCCAGTCTGGTCCCTGCAGCACCTCAAAATATCTGGAAACATTGCAAAAATGTGGCAGAACAGCATTTATTCACAGCAGGAGACTTGGATGCTTCCCTCATGGCTAGTCCTCACTGAGGCCTTAAAAAGAGACATTTTCTCTGAAGCCTAAAAAGAGACATTTAGTGGTGCAGTTTGGTACAGTAGTGACCTGAGGAGAGGAGCAGACTATGTCCTACTTAGTCTCTGTTTCAGCTTGCCAGGGGCAATCTCAGGATCTGAAACTCAGTAGTATGATAATTAAGCCCTGAAACATGTGTTCGACCATCCCAATTGTGTGTCTAGCTGTAATGTTTTCTGTCGAAAATGGATATAGTTCTGTACTCTTTGAATTACTTGGCATTTCATTTTCTTCCTTTCTGAAAATAAGGGCACACTGATGATTATGTTTGATGACTCAAGTTTCTTTGCAACAGCAAAAAGATAGTTTTTGGTTTCAAAAGCGTTGTGTTATTTCTTTGGAATAAAACTTTTACACTGCTAGCTCTCCCAAACCGTGTTGGAATTTTTTGTTTGGTTTGGTGGTTTTGCATGGATGAGTATTTTGAAATTCGTGGATTTATCTCGTGCAGACTTTTCTCACTACTATTATGCTGTGCTGGGATTTGTTTACATTTGCAGCAATGAACAGTTAGGTGTCTTTACATAGCGTCTTCTATATGAACATTTCAGTGCGTTTAGGCATAATTAGTCCTTCAAAGCACAATCTGTACTATTATTCTTATTTTAGGCATAGAAGACTGAATTACAGAGCTAGGTTTATTTAAACTAGAGATGGGAGTGTGGTGATGTCTGGGTTTTCCCTGATTTCATGGCAGGGTGATCTTTTGTAATGTTGCTAACCGTTAGAAGGTAAAGTCTCTGTGCATCATACTCTGAACAGTGGTCAAATCTGAAAACAAAAATGGGAAATTGAATTACTGACAGTTGTGGTCAGTGAGTGAGTGGAGCTGAGCGTTAGAGGAAGATGGGATTAGAGCCAAAGGTTTGAATCTGGCCAAACTTGTTTCTGCAGCACAGAATGTAATTGGGGTTCCAGATGTGCTGGTCATAGTGTAAGTGCCTTTAACTGATGGACCGAGAAATTTGATATCCTCACTCTTGGGACTTGAGAGTATGCTGCGCTTACGTGGTAAGTCATGTAACTCCACCGATTTCAGATGAATCATGATTTTGAGATAACTGTGGTGTTTTAAGTATTTACCCATATTGTTGCTGGAAAATATGAATTAAAAAACTCAAATGCTGGTAAGCAAATGTTTCTTATTTCTCGAAATACCTTTTTTTTTTTTTTAAGTCTCATGATTTAAGAGGGTATTGAGTCATGATTTTTCTTTTTAATAAATCAGTATAGCACCACTGTATTCCTCTGTGACAGAATAAAATTAAAATGTTTACTGGGTAGGCATTGAGTGTGTGGTTCATTATTATGTAATTATGAAGCATAACCACAGACTCCAGAGAACTTGGGTGATGAGCTTCCTCATATTCAGGATATTATTAACAATAAGCAAGATATTTCATTGCTTAAATACTTTGTTTAATGGGTTCTCCCTATAAATGACTGTCTAGGTGGTACAGTTCACAGCTTCCCTGATTCCTATGATATTCCATCTCCACTAGGAAAGATGAGATGCATAATTTAGTCTTAGTACATTTCCAGTACCACAGGAGGCTGCACAGGCATTTTCAGAAATGTGATGCAGACTCAGTAGCAATCAAATAAATAAATAAATAAATAAACAAACGAACCTTCAAGTTACTAAGCTTCTGTTGTTGCTACTGCCAGGCTGGTGTCAAACATAAAGGGTAATTTGAACTGACTCTGCTTGGAAGCAGAAGTAAAGTGTGTGGATGAAAATCACAACGGCAACAGTTTTACATGCAGGTGTCACGCTAATGGCAGACAGCTCTAGACCAGATAATGAGGCTTTTCCAAGGTGTCAGGATGTTGTGTAACTTGGCGGATCAGTTTAACCCTCTCTTCCAAAGATAAAAGCATTGTATGTAGGTTACAGCTTGGAATCCGGCTCTCCTGCAGTTCACTGATCTGTGCCATAAACTACGGACTAAGAACCACATAGAGCCCAAATGAGTATCTCATGTTTACGGGAGCAGCACGCAGGTGGGACCAGGCTTTCCCTACGGTTCTGTGTGCAAGCAGATGCACCGCCCTGCAGAAAGGGCTCACCCAGGCTGCTCCATCCTTTCGGCAGGCACCGCCAGCAGCTGAGCTATTGGAGTGGGTTTAACCTCTGACTCCGTTCTGGGCGCTGCCTGTCACACAGGTGGCTTCCACCACAGTCCTGTCCTCCATGTGGCATGCTCTGTGTAGCTGGCAGCACCCGCTTAAAAAGACTGTCAGGACTCCACAAGTTTTCTCATGAAGGAGAATCAAGGTGTGTTTTGTGCCCTCTGCCTGGCAGAACAGGTGACAGCGAGCTGACTTAGCTGTGCCCTTGCCATTATTTTATAGGAATGTCCTGTGGTGCTTGTGACGCTCTTTACCAAGCTCTCAAGACATCCTTTCCGTGACCAGAGACGTTGGCGCATCACTGGATAGTGATGGGAAGAGACATGTATGCCTGATGGTAGTAACACGGCAACAGGAGTCGCACCCTGTCCGCCCACAGTGTAGAGCTGAGAACTAAGGAGGCCCCTGAGCACAGGACCGTTTTGAGCATCTCCAGTTCTCCCTCTAGAAAGGCAGATTATTGAAGGGGGACTAACCCTGGCTGCAGTGCGTTTGCCTGTTATAACCAGGGACAAAACAGGGCCGAGAACACAGTACTGACTTGTTGCAGGTGCTTCAGTGCACCTAGCTAGGAGAGGCTAATCAGCTGCTTGTGCCCGTGCCCAGGGTTACCTGGACTTTTCCTACGTTTGAGCTGGGCTTCCAGGTGTAGGCAATACAGTTTCTTCAGATTTTGCAGCTAGGAGTGCTCTGTTGCCAGAGCCTGGCCCATGTTTGAGGATCGCCACTACTCCAGCAGGATTACATATCAAAGACTTCCCTGGTGCTGTCTTCCCTGATGGAAGCAGCAGAGCTTCATTTCCAGGCCAGTAAAGTTCCTACGCTCTGGTTCACATGTTCTGCTTCCTTACCCCTACCTTTGTTGCCTGGGAGAAGATGAACTCCAC